AGTTCATGTCACATGCGTTACACTGCCCCATGAAAGAGCGAGGCCCAAACAACTTACTAATTAATGAAAAGACCATGTATGATTTAAGCTTTTTTAGTATTAGCTGTCACATTTTTCCACTTTTCAGCATAAGCAAGACGATTTTATAAGCCAGATGTTAGCAGGAGCTGTTTCTTGTTCCAGCTGGGTTTTTTTTTTTACTGTTTTGTAGGATTCAGATGTGCACGCAGGTGGCACAACGCTGAGGACTTCATTTATTATTCAGTCATTATGTAATCGCAGAATTTCCCATATAGCTGTCAGACACGGTTTCTTTTCTTTCTTTCTTTTAATGTAGCACATAGTCACATGATCCTCCACAAGGAAGCACTTGGTGAGAGTGGTAAGAAAGAACTGCCTTTTAACAGGAAGAGACTCAGGGAGGGGCAGCCATCTGCCATGACCGGCTGAGGGATGGGAGCATCATCCCTCAATTAGTGGAGAATAGAAGGATTGCTTTGTGAATCATGTGAAGCCTCGCAGCAGCCTGAGCTTATAGCAGCATCACTAAAGCGGATCTAGCTCTAACTATAAGCTTTTTCAAAACAAAAACAAAAGAAGGTTCAAAGCCTAATTTTAAAACTATACTCCCCTAAAGCCAAACTGGGAGCTGTTTCCACAGAGGAGGGGCCCTGATAGCTGAGGGCTCTGCCTCCCATTTTACTTTTAGTAAATCTTGGAACCACAAGTGCAGCCTGATTTCAAAGTGCTCTTCTTCAATAATTTGATACTGTGAGGTTTTATTATATTTTTTAAACATCTTAATAAAGGAAGACCTCAGGTGGAAGGGCCCGATTGGTGGAATGCCACTAGAAACGATTCATTGACTCTGTTTTACTCCCTGATGACGACCCGTGTGCCGAAACCAGTTGGAGTTTTTAGGTTAAACATAATCTTCCCTGTAAAACTGAAGACATTTTAATTTTATTTTGAAATGTGGTTGCCTTGGAGTCTTGTGATATTTAAGCCTTAGTAAAGCTACCACCATTTTAAGTCTTGTGTTTCAGTGTGTGTGCGCTGAGTTTGAGGGAGTTTTGGATGCATGTGAGAGGATCTGTGCATAAGCAAGTCCTCCATGTGATCCCTTTAAGGCTGGTTCACAATAAACAATGACCTGCATATTATAAGAGCCTGCTCTGCAACTAGCCAGAGAAGGCTCTCCCTCTCTGTCACACATGAACACACAGTTTCCAGGTGATTACAGGATCATCTCTCCCGTCATCTGCTTGAAACGTCAGAAATGCAAACACACACACACACACACACACACACACAGAGCAGCAATATTTTGTATAGATTAAACAAACAGCAAACTCTTCTCTCTTCATTCCCTTTGTCTTCCATCCCCTTCTCCTCAGGCATGACCCTCACCTTCCTGCAGCTCGCTCTGAAGTTTGCCAGCCTGGCGTACATTCCCGCTTTCACCAAGATCTATCAGGGAACCCTGGACTGGTTCCCAGGCTTTGTGTTTACACTAGCCAGTATTTTCACAGTACTGGCAATGACACCCATCAGGTATGTGTGCAGATCACTTCAGACTAACGTGCCCGCCTTTCAGAGTCACTTTGTCTCATCTCCTCTGTCTACTCCCTCCAGTATCATCGGCTGCAGATCACCTCAGAGGTGGCAGTATGAGAAGATTTAGAGCGGTCGAACCAGTAACATCATAACCAGCAGCAGCAGCAGCGAGTGAGCATTGGGGCAAGGCAGAAGGGAACTTAGACTTGAAACTACTTCCTGTGCTGTTAAAGCAGAAAAAGCATTTCCTTTCCTATAAGCTTCCTCAGTTATAAAAGAGGGCACACAGTATTTTTACATCTATTTGAGAAACATCTCAAATAGACAACTGCCTCACAAAGACAGAAGCTGCCACGGTGATTTCCACATAGTTTAGGATTTGTCACGGACTGTGTTGGCTGCTTCTGTCAGCAAACTGTTACTCACACTCAGTTTTCAGCCATGGGTCATGTTTTAAACAACTTCTTTAGGAGTTTTGTATCCTGGAGTCCTCTCAGGCTGTTACAGGAACAGAAAGTTTGACACAAGTTGATCTCTGTTATAAATTCACCCGTTTTTACTTAACTGCCTACTGTTTTTGTAGATTTGTAAACTAGAAGCTAGAAGTGGAAGTGTGGTTATAAAATCAGTTTTTTTTTTTTTGGCTGTTACTGTTTCTGTTTCCATATTTAAAGACTTTGCAGTTGTTACTGTACTAGCACAGTAATGTGCACAAAGTTAATGAGAGTGATGCTCTGATGCCAGCTTAGCTGCAGTTTGGGTTTAGGTCAAAGCTACATGAAGTGAATCCAGTTTGAGTCACAGACGGTGTAAACGGTGGACATGGCCACTGTGATGTCTCAAGGTGAAACCTCGAGGCTCGAGAAACCGCACAGTCATTTGCTAAGAGCTTCTGACTGAGTCTAATAAAAAGGATCATCAAGCCCTAACCCTGCAATGCCATCTGTATTATTTCTCAGACATGAGTTTAATGGCCAGCCCTCTGCTTGCCACTAAACGACAATACAGATTTCATCAGACGCAGAAGGCACGCCCATCTTTTTGTACTGTTTACATCTGTGTCCTGTTCACATCACCTTAACTCCTCTAGAGGTCACTGTTTCTAAAGTGTGACTTAAACCTGCTGCAAGCCTATGCTGTTTTACGGAAGCTCGTCTCTGCCAAAAACAGTTTCTGGCATCCAGAAATGGAAAATTAGAGTTACTGCCTCCGAAATTTTGTTATTACGTCAAAATTTTGAGATAACTTGAAACATCAAATGAGCTCTGCCAAGCAGGGTTTTTTTTTTTCCCCAGTGGTGGAAACGAGCTTTCAGCCCCAATACCAAACATACCAAACTTTTTCTCTTTTGTTTTTAAACAGTGTTGTATTAAGCTCCCTGATATAATAGCTAAGCATTACACCAGTGGCAACGGACTAATTGCATGCACTGCTTTTTAAATCAGCAGGGCTTGCATAGACGCCACTACAGATTGGGCAACAAGCCCAAAAAAGTTGAAAGAAAAACATACTTCATAAGTCTGATGCGCACTGTTGCACATTATAAGACTGAAACACGACGTTCAATCTGTAAACCATAGCAAAACATTGCCCAATTTTCTTTAGATTGAACCGATTTTTGCTGCTCAGAAGATATTATTGATTTTTTAAATATCAAATATTTTACCACCTGTCTTCGCCCAGTGGCAAACCAATGTAAATTATTAATTATTAATGCTACGTATTTGACAGATTAATCCTAATGACGCAGTTTGTAAGGAAACAAAAGGGAAAATATGTTGTGCCTGAAACATTCAGAGCAACGTTAGCAAACGATCACAAGTGCGTGGACAAGTGTTCTGTGGATGGGGAAAAAAACTGCTGGATTCTCCCCCGCTCATGACTCCGTGTATCATCACCATCAGTCAGCTGCTCACAACACATATTTTAGGAAAAGCTTTAGGTTTGGTGTCTTTCGACGTTCTCGCACACTGACTACTGGCAGTCTAAGGGATCTTTTTTGACATAACCTTTTGTTTGCTTTTATATATTTTTATTATCCTTACATATTGACCCACTAATGCATTTGATTGTGCTTTATGTTCATCTGTCTTAGTCTGAAGGTACTGGTACAGTTCTGTGCATGAATTTATGTAGAAATTTAAAGCCATATTTTAGTTATTAGTAGACATGTTTGTATAGCTGAAGTAGTGCTTATAGTACTTTGTTATTTTGTTATTTTGCATTTGCACATTATTGCACTTTTATTTGTTGACGGTGCATAAAAGGGGGCTTCTGCTGAAATTGTTAGTTTAAATGAAATTATTAAACATAAAGAGCAACTTATGTTGGTGTTCGAGCTGCAATGACACTAAATAAAATCTTTTTGTTAAATAAACATTATTAAGGCTTGTTGTGATGTTTTTAAATTGTCTGTATGAAAGAATATTTAAATATTCAATCCTTTCTAAACCTCTTCATCCAGAGCACAACTGCAGTATATTTAGTTTTTTGATGAAAATAAACTAATATATATATATAAAAAGTTACAGAAGCAGAAAAATATCAAATGCATTCATTCTTTTTATTATTGGTCCAATATATCAGAAAAAAACCAATTTGTGTTAAAGATAAATTGCATCAAAAACAACATCAATGTACAAGCTTATTTATAATTACAACAAAATTGTTATTAACATCCAAATGTACAATAAGGGCTCTGAACGTAAACAGCACACAATGAGGAGGAACAGAGGTTTTAAAAAAAACAAAACCATAACAGACAAAAAAGTGATCTAGGTTTAGACTGACTTGGTCGCTTTTATTCATCATGTGCTGAAAATCAGATCTTCTCTTCATGTGCGAATCCACACTGCCGGGACGATGAGAGGAAGAGAGAGGCATTGGGGGCGGAGGATGTTTGGCCTGGAAATATTTGAATGAAAACTCTCCCCTGCAACAGGCTCATAACAGACGTCCCTGTTTGAGGGATTTAACCTGAATCGGCTTCATATACAGCATTTTTTGAATGTGTCTCAACTGACTTTAGACCAGTTTGTTTTCAATTTTTCGGCAAATTAAATTAGAAAGAAAAACAATTTTTTCCCCAGCAGAAGTTTCTGCCAGGGCCTTGAGCTACATATTTAGTGCAAAACAATTCAGCAGGCACATGTAGTATGATAATAATAATAATAATAATAATAATAATAATAATAATAATAATAATAGGGCACTGGCTAATAGAGAACATTGATCACACTAAACAGAGCTATTGTTGGAGGTTTAATGTGCATCAAAAGTAAATCCGTTTTGGTTGTGGCAGGTTTACACTGTTCGTGCACATCTCTAATCCCTTTTAAATCTTTATGCACTCATATAAATCCCAAAGATTCCCTCCAGTTTCATAAATGTGTGTCTCACATGTCAATTACTTCATTTACACCAAAGCGATGCTCTACAGATGCACCAGTGCCTAATGATAAGAAATTAAGTAACAACAACAACTCACAATCCTCAGCAGATACCAATGTTATACCTTAAACAGAACAGGAAATGGTGTTTTTCAAGCTTTATTATATTTAGTTGTTTTAGTTTTTTTTGTAATATTTATGCTACATTTCATCCAGTTACTTCTCAAACTGCACTCAGGGTTCAGTGAGTTTTAGCTACAAGCAAACATCAAGAAGAAACACGTAAGTCGTCTCATTTAATGTTTTTGAACCGATCTGGGGTTTTCACATCAAGCTGGCACCTGATGTGTTTGTATGAGTACAATCAATGTGGGAGCAGCTACAAATACTGCTCAATAGCACTGCTAGTGGACTACTACTAGAAGTTAACAGTCAAACTCTAAGGTTTGAGCTATTCAAATGCAATGGGGTTAATATAGGACAACAGTATGGGCAAAAATGATTGTAGTAAATCTTTGGATTTTCCCTTTTAGCCCTGGTGCATCCATAGGCCGCTCCACTGCAGCTGCCTCCGTCCATAAAGATACTTTTTCTTCACATTGTTGACTTCTACTAGTTACAGAGTAGCTGCTTCACTCTTTTAAAGCTTAAGGGTAAAATGTGAAAGGCAAAAGTAGATAAGGACAATAAAAAAAGAGAGAGAACAAAATAAACCCAGTTCACTGGCAGCTGCAGATGCCTCGTCAGGATGCTGCAGCGCTTGCATTTGGTTGCATGGAGGCGCAGGCTCAGTAATGTGATGGCTACTTTACATGATTGTAACAAAATCTGAAAGCAGCTCTAGTCTGGAAATCCTGTCAGTGAAGGAGAAACTCTTAACCAACAGGAGGACAAAACATGGTGACTGTGGAAATGTCACATGACTGAGTCTGCCTCGGTGTCATTGGTCAGGTTTTAGCTACTTTCAGAGTAAAAGGAAAGCAGAATAAGCGAGCTGCATCTACTGTCTGTGCTTCAAAACCTTTTTTTCTGGGTTGGCAGTAAATAAGAAAGTTTTAAATAATATGATTGCAGTGAGGGGATTTTTCCCCATCCAGGAGTTGGAAAATAATAAAGGAGTGTGATGCAAAGAGTGTGCCTCACATACGTGCTGCAGGGCT